CACGCACACAAGAGCACATTGCACACACAGGCGCGCACACACACAGCACATGCACCGGGGCTGTTCCGCTCCAGAAGCACAACAGGCGGCTTGGCATCCTCGGCGTCGCTGCCGCTGCCGGCGCCGCCGCCGGCCGCGCCGTTCTGGCCGCGCGCGCGCTTGCGGGCGCCGCCGCCGCGCGCGCCCTCCGCAGCCGCCGCCAGAGCGGCTTGCTTGATGGAGTAGCTGACCTGCAGGCAGGCAGGCAGGCAGGCAGGCAGGCAGGCAGGCAGGCAGGAGGGGAGGCAGGCAGGCAGCTTGAGGAGGGGGGCCGCATGCAGGGGGGTGACGATCGGAGAGGTGCCTCGGCTGCGGGCAAGGCTGCAAAGATGCACTACGCTGTGGCAGCCTCTGCGGCTACAGCAGCAGGGCAGCACCGCATAAAACCAACCGCCACCAACCACCACCATCACAGCACAGCACACAGAGCGGGCGGCCACAGCACCCCCCTGGGCACATCTCAGCAATCCCGGCTGCCGCACGCACCCGAGACGGGTCCAGCCAGATCTTGGTGCCAGCCGCCGCCATGCCGCGCACATCCCCCATCAGAGCGCCATACTCCTTCACCACCACCCCCGCCTCCCCCAGGTGCGCAGCCACCCTGCGGCAGCAGGGCAGGAGGCAGGTCCGCGCAGGGTTATGCATGCAGCAGGCCAGCGCAGACAGGCCTGCAGCGGCACATCTGCCTTCTGACGACGTCACAAAACCAGCAGTGCTCTGGTAACGTAACAGCAGCGCCTGGCCATGCCCGGCTGCAGCCAGGCCGCAGCCAGCGCCTGCCTCACGGGTGCTCCTGGCGCTCGCGGCGCCCCTCCCCTACCTGCCCGCAGCTTGGCGCAGCGCAGCTCAGCTCTGCGCCCTCAGGACCCAGCCCCAGCCCCATCCTCAGCGCCAGCCGCCACCGCCTGCGCTCACTCTGGGGTGACCTTGCGGGGGTCGACATACAGGGTGGCACCGTCTGCGGTCACCACGCCGTAGGATAGGAAGACCGGGTTGTAGGCCACATCCCCGCCCCGCAGGTTGAACAGCCAGGCCACCTCGTCTGCGGCGCAGAAGGCATGGCAGGGGAGGCAGGGCAGGCGCGGCGAGTGACTGGTGGGTTCTTTAACAGGGAGTGGAGCCGGAGGCAGGGAGGGGTGAGGGAGGAGAGGGAGAGGGGTTGGGCAGAGGTGGCATGCTGGCAACCCAGCCGCAAGTCATGGGCGCGGGGACGAACGGCTTCAGCCCAGCGTTTTTACCAGCCCAGCGGCAGGCGGCCAGCGGCAGGCGGCCCACAGCACAGCGCGCAGCGGGTGGCGGCGGCCTCACCCAGCATCGTGACGAGCAGGGCGCCGGCGCCGGCCTCTGCCAGCTGGCGGCGCAGCCCATCCAGCTTCTGCGCCACGCTCTGCCCCGCCCACTCAAGAGGGTGCACCCGCAGCGGCGCCTGCGCGGCAGGGGCAGGGGCAGGGGGAATGTGGTGGCCGTGGGAGGTTGAGAGGCAGCAGCACACGGCAACAGGGGATCCCCAGGGAGCAGCAGCGGGGACACCAGCCCTCCTCTTGCTCCCCCAACTCAACAGGCCACGGGTACCGCCCGCCACCGCCGGTGCCGGGACGGCAGCATGCAGGCAGCACGCAGGCCACGGCAGCAACCCACCCCACCCGCTCCCAACCACAAAGCAGTCCCCTCCCCACCTTCCGCTCCACCTCCCCACCTTCCCACCCACCTCTGGCGGAGCAGGGCGCCCCTCCCACGCCTCATCCACCGGGTTGCTGCCCAGCGCCACCAGCTGCTTGCCCGCGGCGCGCAGCTTGGCCTTCAGCTTCTCGGCGGCGTCCACGGTGTGTACCGCAGGGTCGATGCCCACGCGGGAGCCCTCGGGCAGGTGCTCCGCCAGCCACTCGTGCACCTGCAGGCGCCGCGAGCGGGCAAGAAGGCGGGCAAGAAGGCGGGCGGGCATAAGCTGAACAGCATCGCACCCAGGCTGGTGCGCAGGCAAGGAGGCCGGCAAGCAGGCGTGAGCTCCTGCGTTGGTGTGCGCTCCCGTCATGGGTGTCGGCATGTAACATCCAGCTGCTGAGCTTCCATGCCCCACATCACACACACATGCACGCGCTGCTGCCGGCCCCGGCGCACCTCTGGGCAGTTGGGCGTGCCATGGCGCATGAGCGTCCAGTCTGGTCCCAGCTGGGCCTCCGCCTGCAGCGCAGCCAGGTGGCAGGCACTACCGTTTGCTCCCGCTCCGGGCCTGCTGCAACTGCTGCCCCACACGCTGCAGCAGTGAACAGCGCAGCTGCTTCCGCTTCACCACTCACCAACACACACATGCACACACCCTTGCCTGCCTCCACCCAGCTGCCCCGCAGCTACCTGAAGGAAGTACCGGCCGTCGGTCCAGAGCGCGGCGGTATCCAGGCACACGACGGCGGTACCGGCGGAGCCGTCAAAGCCTGAGATGAACTCTCTGCGGGCGTCGCACTCTGGAGGGTACTCGCTCTGCGGGCAGGGTGCCAGGGCTTGTTGAGACACACTAGGGAAGGAGGGGTGGTGGGCAGCAGGGGCTGATGACTCGCTGCCTGCTGCAAGCCGCGTGCTGAGCTGCCCGATGCCTCCCACCGCCTACACAACTCGCCATGTGTGGGTCTTCGGACGGGACAATGAAGGCCTGGATGCCCCTGCCGCCGTCTGCCCTGGCCATCGCCGCCCGAATCCGCACAAGCTTGGGGTCGGTGGCAGGTGCTGCCGCGGGCGGAGCCGCCGCCTGCGGCGCGGCTGCTGACGACGCCATCGCTGCCACCCCTTGCCTTCTGGGTGCAGGTGGTGCGGCGCTCCTGGCCGCCTGCGCAGAGGGAATAGGTGACAGCGGGCGCCAGCTGCTGTGCAGAGCGTGGCGGTGTGCGGGCGGGGCGGCAGGGCAGGCGGCGGCAGTGCCCCGCGCCCCACGCACCTTGCTGGTGGCAGGCCTGAACAGCGCCTGGTGTTTGGAGAGGTGGACTAGCCCACGCCGCTGGAACAGGGAGGTGCAAGAGGCTGCTAAGCTCATCCCACGGGTGGATCAGCCAGCCTGAGTGCTGGCTGGCGTGTCAATTGAGGGAGATCACGCGTGGCTGGGCTGAAACCGTGCGCCCTGGGGCTAGTTGGCTGAATCCGCCCTCGGGCCAAGGCCTTGGCTCGCCTGCTGCGCTCCCTCAGCACCACATGGGAAAAACGAATGCTGCAGGGCGCACAATCCTCATCGTTTTTTCCGCCCCAACCCACCACTTGCTCGCTTGTTTCGATGGCGAGCGCAGGGCCCTGCGAGCTCGTTTCTGGTGTCGGGGTGCAAGCGGAAGCCTCGGGCCTGGCCGGGGGTGATTCCCAACCAGCAAGCAGCGCGCAAGGTGCTCCCTGCGGCGAGCGCCTGGAGGCGGCACGGCCTACCTGAAGGCGGGGGGCGGCGCTTTGGAAGCGGCGCCCCGGCCGAGCGCCGCTCGCACCATGGTGAGGCTAAGGCGCCGCAGTGGTGCAGGCGTGGGAAGCACACGCACAGAGAGAGGCGGCTTGGGTGGTGACCGTTGCCGCAGCACCGGCGCGCAGCACCTGCGTTCCCGAGTGTGCAGCTTCTCACTGGCCGCCCAGGGGTGCTGGTCCGTGTGTTCACAAGTTCTGCCTCCTCTCCCCCACCCCAGCAGAAGACCCGCTGCGCTGGCAGCCGGCCGCGATATTCGCGGGGCAAGGGGAATGAACTTGAACATCACATTTGGCCACCGCCTCAAGCCTGAGGACGAGCGCTGTGCGGCGGGCGGCGCTCTCGACTGGTGGCGGCTGCAGGTGCGGGTGGGATTCAGTGGGAGGTGCCCATGTCTGCAGGTTGGGCCTGCCTGACGGTCATCATGCCATGCCCGCTGTGCGCTACTCTCCACCCACGCACCTCGGTGCCTCCCCATGGCCCCTGCCCGCACATTGCCATCGCGCCTAGCAGCGACTTGCAAGCGGGATCGAGACGTCTTAGCGTTAGTGTGTGCTCCTGCTGGACAGCGGCGCCCAGTTTGACAGCGGCACCACAGCTACGATCGCCGGCCTCAGGCAAGAAAGGCGATGAGCACTATATACCCCTCGGCTGATGCATGGAGGTAGTGGCATTTGTTTTGCAAGCACAGCGCCCTTATCGCTAGGGTGTCTTGAGCCCGCTTACAGGATGCAGCCAGTGGCCAGGTCAAGGCACCGAGGTGTGTGGGTTCGTGGGTGGAGAGTAGCACACAGCGGGCATGCCATGATGACGGCCGGCCGGCCCACCCGCGCCTGCGGCATCCGCCAGCTGAGAGCGCTGCCTGCCATTCAGCACCCCACCTCAGGCCTGGGGCGGCGCCCGAGTGTGTTTTGATGTGCAGCTCGCGCGCCGCCGTTTTGATGCCGTGCTCTAGGCGGTTGCCGTGGCCTCCGTCAACGCCACTGGCGGCAACCGTCTCGAGCGCGGCGTTGCGACGGCGGCACGCGACATGCATATCAACATCACATTCGGGCGCCGCCCCAATCCTGCTGAGGAGCGCTGAATGGCAGGCAGCGCTTTCGATTTGCGGCTGCTGCAGGTTGCGGCCTGCCCGCCGATCATCATGGCATGCCCGCTGTGCGCTACCCACACACGCACCACACACCTCGGTGCCTCACCCTGTCCCCTGCCTGCTGGTTGCATCGCTCCCGGCGGCAATTTGCAACAGTGCACGCAATCACCCCTCCCCACCAGGCGGTTGGTCAAGAGTTTCTTTTGAGCACCCTACGGTCCAACTGTAAGCTCATTTTCGCTCGAATGAAGCTGGTACAACACCTGCAGCACCAACCAGTGGATTCAGGATACATGAATTCGTGAGGGCAGGGGTCCGATCGCGCGGGCGCGCCCGGCGCGCTGCGGCGGTGGTGCCCGCTCCCAGCTGCCCGTCCAGTCGGTTGGCGCACGTCCCTTCGTCTTCATCTGAGTCCAGCACGCGTATGTATTGTGTAGCTCCTTCACGACGGGCGCTGCAGTCACCCTCTTGCCAGTTTGCCCGCAATTGACGCCACGCTTTCGGCGGCCCGCCCAACGCCACGAGGCAGGGAACTGCGGACAGGAGCAGCCGCCGTGGCTATGCTGGGCAGCGCCGCCCTGCCATTTGCGGCGCAACCCTGCACTGGTCGCTGGCAGCCTCGCGGTGCGCAGCCCACAGCCTACGCCAAGCGGTGGAGGGCGCCCCGCCCAACCCTAGCCATGGCCTCCACCAATGGGGCCTCGCCGCCGCCGCCGCCGGCCGCCGCTCCCGCCACCCCTCCCTCGCCCAGCAGCCCACCCCTCGCCAGCCCCAGCCCCAGCCAGCAGGCCCCGGACCAGCAGCCCAGCCGCGCCGCGGCCAGCGCCGGCAGCAGCAGCGCCAGCAGCAGCAGCGCCAGCAGCGACGCCGGCGCCGCCGCTGACGGCGGCGCGCCTGCCGCCGCCTCAGGCCTCAGCCCCACCGCAGCCCTGGATCTAGAGATTGAGCTGACCAAGGAGGCGGAGGTGGCCCAGCTGCGGCAGGAGATGGGAGAGCTGCGCTCGCTGCTCATCGCCCAGGCCAGGCTGGTGCAGTCCCAGCAGCGACACATCCAGCAGCTGGAGGCGGCGGTGGGCCTTGGCGTGGTGCACACCGCCGCCTCCTCCAGCGCCGCAGCAGCCGCAGCAGCAGCAGCCACCGCAGACGCGCCAAAGCAGGCCGCCGGAGCGCGGCCCGCCTCCGCGGCGGCGGCGGCCGGGGGGAGCGGGAGGGATGCCGCGGGCGGGAGCGGCGTCGTCGACCCTGTCAAGAGCCTGATCATTGAGGGGATCAAGGCGGAGGAGGAAAGGGCCAAGCGACTGGTCATGGCCGCCGAGCTGCCGGACAGGCGCCTGACGGGCCTGTTCGATGCGCGGTACCACAGCACCAGCTGGTGAGGTGGTACCGCAGCGGCAGCGCCACAGGCAGCCAGCCTCGCCCGCCGCTGCATGCGTGCCCCGCGGAATGGCATGGCCCTGCATCCGAACGCCCCGCCGCGCCACCCCTGCCTGTCCAGCGCTTTTCCTGCTGCTCTGCGTCCCACTTTCCTGCTTATGCTGCCGCCCCGCCAACCCTCCCGCTTAAGCCGCCGCCGCCGCCGCCGCCTCCCAACCCTGCCGCCCTGCCTGGCAGGGGCGCCACCCCGCGAGACATGCGGGTGCTGCCCAAGCGCATCTTTCTAGTCCGCCACGCGGAGAGCGAGGGCAACGTAGACAACATGTGCGCTGCGCTGTGCACGCTGTGCTGCGCTGCGCTGTGCCACGCTGTGCTGCCCCGTGCTGCCGCACGGCCCTCCCGCCCCTGTCCGCCGCGTTTGCCCGGCGGGCCGGCCTGGCGGCATCTCCGGCCGCGCACCCGGCGTGCCCCTCCCAGCCGGCCCCGCAGCCACCGCGCCGCCGCGCGCCCCGCCGCTGGGCAGCGGCAGCGGCACGCCTGGGGAGCATCTTTGAGAAACTTGAAAAGGCCCATCTTCCATCTGAAATCTCTGCCTTTTCTTTTCGTTTCTGTTCTTTCCTGCAGCGCCTACACATACCTGCCTGACCCGAGGGTGCCGCTGACGGCGCGCGGCTGGCAGCAGGCCATGCTGGCGGGGGACCGGCTCAAGGCGCAGATGGATGCGGCGCACGGCGGCAAGCCCTACAAGCTCTTCTTCTACACCTCGCCCTACCTGCGCAGCCGCCAGGTGGGACCCCCGGGGCGCGCGGTTAGCGCGGCGGCGCGGCGGCGCCGCGGCGCACCGTCCATCCAGCTGCCGCTCCTTTGCCGCGGCGAGGTGGAGCAGCGGCGGCGCTGCGGCGGCGCCCGCGGCGGGGCCCTGGCTGCTCTGGGCTGCGCCGCTGGGATGGCGCTCGGTCGCTGCCCAGCCAGACACACGCACGCACACGTACCGGCACACACACACACACACACACCTGCATCCCACCTGGCTGCCGCTGCCCCTCCCGCCGCTGCCTCTCCCTCCCGCAGACGTACGAGGGCCTGGCGCAGGTGTTCATGCCGGAGCAGGTGCAGGGGGTGCAGGAGGAGGTGCAGCTGCGGGAGCAGGACTTTGGCAACTTCCAGGTGCGCCTGGGTGTGTGTGTGTCTGTGTGGTGGTGGCGGCACGTGCGTGTGTGTGTGCGCGTGTGCGTGCGCGTCTGTGCTGGTGGCGGGAAGGTGTAGGTGGGGGCAGGGGGTGGCGCCAGCACAGCGTGGCAGCCGGGACGGCCCCAGCCGCTGTCGCGCTGCGCTGCCGGCACCCCCTCCCCGCCTTCCTTGCCGCGCGCGTGCGCTCCCACCCCATCTCGCCCTCCCACCCCCGCCCATGCCTCCCCTGCCTGCCGTCGTCCTGCCGCCGCAGGACGCCGAGGGGAAGAAGCGGGAGAAGGCGGAGCGGCTGCGCTTTGGCCGCTTCTTCTACCGCTTCCCAAACGGGGAGAGCGGCGCAGACGTGTACGACAGGTGGGGGTTGGTGTGGCGTGTGGTGTATGGTGTGTGGCGTGGTGTGACGCGGTGTGGGGCAGGCGACGGCGCGTTTGGGCCAGTGCCCCCGGCTTGGCCTGCCCGCCGGCCGCCTGGTCGGACGCCGCGCGCTTTCAGTGTTGCCACGTGCTCGTGCCTTGCCTCCGCACACGCACGCACGCCGCCCCGCCCGCTTTCTTCATTGCTTTCTTCCTCGCCCTGCCCGCTTTCTTCCCCGCAGGATGACCATCTTTGAGGACCACCTGGTGCGCGACATCAACGCGGGCCGCTTCGCCGACTCCACCTCCCTGGTGCTGGTCACACACGGCCTCGCCCTGCGCGTCTTCCTCATGCGGTGAGACGCCTGGGTGTGGTGGTGTGTGTGTGAGAGAGAGAGAGAGATGAGTGTTCGTGCAGCTGTGGGTGGGTGTGGGTGGGAGTGCGTGTGTGTGCAGCGCCGGGCGCGGCGGGCAGCCGCGCTCGGCCCGCCCGGCTCTGTGCGGGCTCCGGCCCTCCCCCATGCCTGCCCCGCCTTCGCCTTCGCCCCCCCCCTCCCCCTGCCCCCCCCAGCTGGTTCCACTGGACCGTGGACCAGTTCATGTGTGTGTTCAACCCGCCCAACGCGGAGCCGCTGGTACTGGAGAGGGTGCCCTCAGACCTGGAGGCCAGGCAGGGGGGCCCCACCGCCTGGATACACACCAAGGCGCGTCCCGGGCTGCGTGCGCGTGGCTGTGTGTATGTGCGTGGCTGTGCTTCATGTGATAGGGGATCGTGGGCGTGGGTGATGGGCTGGCTGGCGCCTGTCACGCCCCAGGCTCCGGGCCGCCGCTGCGGCGAGCGCGGCGCGAGCGGTGCCCGCCCCTCACACCCCCGCCCGCCTGCCCCCGCCGCTTGTACCGCAGGCGCTGTACCGCCTGAGCGACAGCAGCCGCGAGGTGATCAAGGGGTGCACCGAGGATATGTGCCAGACGAGCTGGACCCCCCGCCAGATCAACCCGCTGGACCCGGCAGATTCCATGCTGCTGCCCTGAAGCTGCCTGGGAGCTGCCGGCCCGCCGGACCCGGCAGACGCCATGCCGCCGCCCTGCAGCTGTGTAGCAGCTGCTGCTGGATTGAGCAGCCAGGCACGGCAGCGTACTCAGCCTTTCAGTGCTCATACTGCAGCAGCTGCAGCCGCTCGACGGCTCGGCGAGGAGCCTGAAGGCTGAGTCTGGTGCCGCACCTGGCATTTCATTTTCTGTGTCGAGGGGGCGTAGACACGGTAGGTTGGCACAAGGCCAGCCGCGCGCGCCTAGCTGCGCTCCCCGCCCGCACCCGCCGCCACCATCACCTGGGTTTAAATAACTATCTTGCATCTTGCTTTCTTTAGTTTGCTGGCCAAAACAGCTTGATACATATGCTAACCGCACTTGCCCTGCCCGCATACCACCCCCATGCACCATGCTGTGATCCGTAGCCGAATCGTGTGGGCTGCCCCTCCCCGCCGCCCGTCCCTATCGCTTTCTCTCTCCCTTTTCGTCCTACGGCTGCGCAGCCTTCTCGTCCTCCTCTGGATGTCTCTTCCCTGCACTCGCCCGCCGTCTTCACCTGACCGCGGAAGAGTTGATTCCATCCACTTGTAACAACATCAACGAGAGCTGCTTACATGGGGGACTGCAGGCATATGAGGAACAGACGCTGATAGAAGCAACGCTGAATGGAAAAAGCGGCATGCAAGCAGCGCAACAGGCGACTACAAAACACAGGCAGCGCGAAGGGCACGTGGGTGCGGTGCGGGGGCTGCTCCAGGGGCTGAAAAGCTCCAGAGGTAAAACATGGCTTGCGATTGGAATGCATTCATTCATGCGAAGTGTTCACGGGTGCGTTCAGGGCCTACGGCAGCAAGAGCCGGCGGCGCCGGCGCTGCGGTGTCAGCTGCGGTCTCAGCCGCTGGGTGCCACGGCAGCGCCGCCGCCGCCGGACGGAAGGCGCATGCGTTGTGGGGTGTGTGGCCCGCTCGCCTCAGGCTTGCGGGGCCCTGGGTGTAATCATCAATCTGCTGGGCGAGGGGGTATCGGGTGAGCCGACGCCAAGCGGAGCCCTAGCCTACCGCTGCCGCACAGCCGCTGGTGTGGTGCTAGGTGGCCAGACCAAGGCGGCCGCTGTGCAGCGCCTCACGCCGTCTGCTTCCTCTCTGCAAGGGGCGGCGTTGCAGCAGCAAGCGAAAGCGTGGCTCAGAGGGAGCCTGGTGGCAACAGACGGAGGTGGCAACTCACGCAGCACCTGTAGCAGTGCAGCAGCTCAGGCGTCGGCGCAGGCGCAGGCCGCTACAGCCAGATCTGGTGCCGCAGGCGGGCGGCGACATGGCGTGCGAGTGAGGCTGCAAGATGTAGCACCCCCATACAGCCCGGACAGCAGGCAGCAGGCCGCGCAGGTCACTCCGCCGGGCGGCACCAGGGGGCTGGAGCAACTTGCTCAGAGCTGCCGGCGCAGGCTGCATGGGTGCCCTCGCTCATCCTAAGCCAGAGGTAGCGATGCAGCAGCACGTTGCCAGCATGCAGAGCGAGAGCTGACGTTCCGCCAGCGAGCCCTGCCATCGCTGCAGCACGCCCCGGCAGCCCCGCCAGGACGCACGACGTCACCAATAGTACCGGTGGCACTGGTACCGCAGTCACTGCACTGCTCTTGTGTTGTGCCCGCAACATGTACTGCCACCTGTACCGCCCCGCACCCACGCGCACCCGGCGCGCCGCCGCCCCCTACGGGCCTGGCCTGTACTGCCCAATCCGCTCGTCAGGCTTCTCGGGCGGGCGCTTCGCACCTTGTCCGAAAGGCGTGTTGCCCGCCAGCGTGCCGCCGGGGCTCTCGCCCGAAGCGGAGGCCGGCTTGGGGGGAGGCTCTGCACGCACGGCAGCCAGGGCGTGCCAACCGATACAGCCACAACCCTTTTGCCATGCCCAAGCGGAGCAGGGAGTCGGATGGTTCACGCACGGCGTCTGGTGGGCGGAGGGTGGGCCAGCATGAGCAGGGCAGGTGCAGCGGCACCTGCCGCCACTCTGGGGGAGATGGGCTGCCGCGGCTCTGCTGTGCTGTCCCCGTGGGCTTGACAGTGGGCAGCAGCAGCGGCAGCAGCGGCAGCAGCAGCAGCACGGCGGCGGCGGCGGCAGCAGGGCCACTCACGCTGGCCGGCCCCCGCCGCCTGCGAGCGCAGGTACTCCTCTCCGTTGGCCATCCTGCAAGCAGCGGGCAGCGCCGCCAGGAAACGCAGGGCGCGGCCTGAGGTGCGCAGCAGAGTGCCCCTGCCCTGTGCTTATGCGTGCAAGCACCGACATGAATCCGCGGAGCAGTTGAGCAGCAAGGCAGGGAGGCAGGCAGCGAGCAAGCAAACAGGGAGAGCAGCACCAGCTCAGCGCCAGCTCAGCGCCCCCTCACTCACATGTCCAGCTCAGCGTCGATGTTGGCGGGGCAGGGAGGCTCCGGGCAGTCCCACAGGTGGCTCTTGTCGGCAAGCAGGGGGTCGTCCCTGCAGCCAGCAGAGGAGGTGGCGAGCAGCGGGGCAGGGGTGGAGGTGTAGGCAGGTGGAAGGACGGCAGCACTCGGCGCAGCGAGCGCAGCAGCAGCAGAGCCTCTACAGCTGCTGAGAGGAGCACCGCCGCCCGAGGAGCAACCGGCTGGCGGCTCTCAAGTCACAGCAGGCGCAACAGGCTCGGCACAGCGGATGTAACGTCTCCCAAAGCACAGCAAGTGCAGCTGCAGCAGCAGCACCACCGCCATCCGCCACCACCACTCACCACCACCCACCCACCTGTCCATTTCAGTATCCAGGTCGACCTCCGGCGGCGGCGGCGGCACGTCCCACAGCGCCCGCTTGTCCGCTAAGAGAGGGTCATCCCTGCGCTCAGGGAGGGAGGTAAGGGAGGGAGTCAGGCAGGGAGGGAGGCAGGTGGCTGGGAGCAGGAGGAGGGTGCTGTGGACAGGAGGAGAGCTGGGCAGGGGCAGGCGGGGAGGCTCAGGGGGGGTGGGAGCAGCGGGTTGCGAGGAGCGGGAGGGGAGCAGGGGGGCGCTGGCAGCAGGGGTGCAGTGCAGGCGCGGGCCTGCAGCCACGGCCCGGGGAGGCCAGGGCAGCAGGCGCCCACAGACTGCGGCTGGCCAGCCCGCCGCCGGTCGCCGGGCAGCTGTTGCGCAAGCCTGCCAGAGCGACGCCCCGGCAGGGTGCAGCAAGCACGACGGGGCCGCAGCGGTGGAGGTAGCGGTTGGAGCGGTACCGGCAGCTCCGCCAGCTGGCCATGTCGAGACTGCTGCCCCTGACGGAGCGCCTCGCTGGCAACAGGCTGTGCATGCTGCTTAGGGACGGCGGCATGGGGCATGCCAGCACAGCGGCCGCCAGCCGGGCAGGCCAGCCCCGGGAAGCAGGGCGCACCCGCCTGCTCCCCCGCAACGGGAGCAGCGGCGACGGCGGCACATGCATGGTGTTGGAGCATTGCACCTGGCTTCCCGACAGCTACCCCGCTGCACCCCGGCCGCCGGCAGCGACACGAGAAGGAAGCGGCAGCCAACCTCGGCCCAAACGCCTGCCCTCTGCCCAGGCGGTCAAGAAAGCGGTCAACACAGCAGGAGGAAAGCGTGGTCAAACTGCCCGCCTCCAAGCACCCACCGGTCAAACTCGGTGTCCAAGTCAACATCTTGCAGCGCGGCTGCAGGAGTGAGCACAAGAGGTGTGGGGGCATTTGTGGGTCCCAGGGGCAAAGCGCAGGGCTTGGGGAAGCGCTGCGGGGTGCCAGGCGGCGACTCGCAGGCAGCAGCAGCGGCTGCACACGCCGCCGCCAGTGCTGCCGGCGGGTGCGGCATGCGGCGAAGCGGCCGAGCTGCTCTGGCAAGCGAGCCGCTGCTGGTGATGGTGCTGCTGCTGCGCCTGCGCCTGCAACACGCACCTGCTGTGCGCTCCGCATAGAGTTCCTTCGTGTCAACACACTCAGGGTCGTCGCTGCGGGGCGAGGGGGCACAGGGCACAGGCAGGGGAGGCCCGTGGGGCCGCTGTCAGTTGTAGGGTGAGGGAGCGGAGGCTGCGGCAGCGGGCTGGCCGCTGCGGTGGGCTGGCTGGCACTCTGGGCATCAGCATCTCTGTGGCGTGCAGCCCGGCCTGCTGCCGGTCCCCCCCTCGCCGCCTGGTCCTGGAGCCCCCACACAGGCACGTGCAGCACAGCACAGCGTCAGCGGTACGGTCGTCAGTACTGCCAGCGGTACTGCCAGCTCACCGATCGTACTCGCACTCCAGATCCACGGGCACTGTCAGCCCCGCGGCGCGCCGCGCCTCCACCCGCGCCGCATACTCGGCCTCGTGCTGAGCGGCCGTGACCTCGCTGTGAGGATTTGTGGCATGGCAGCGTGGTTGCAGGGGTGCAGGGAGCAGGGGCAGGCGAGGCATTGGGTGATGGGGCAGCGGAGCGCAGGTGTGTGCACGCGGCAAGCAGCGGGCATCTCTGCTGGCGGCGGCGGCGGCGGGAACTGGGCGGGCCTCACTCTTCTCCGCGGTCGAACTCCTGGTCGAAGGCGTCAGGCGTGGGCTCAGGCTGCTGGCAGGCGGTGGAGGCGCAGGAGGCAGGTCAAGGCGCTGCACCAGTTGCTGCCTGCGGCCGCGCAGTCACGGAGGGCAGCAGCGAGCAAACCCGCGGCCAATTCAGCACGGCAGTCGGCCTCCAAGGCGCCCAGGAGGCCGCATTGCCCACCTTGCCCTGCTCTGCTGCCGCAGTGCCTGTGGCGAGGCGCAGGCGACACCCGCCGGCCCCGGCCAGTGCTGCCGCAAAGTTGGCGCTGGAGGTGGCACCCAAGACCGTTGACAGTCGCTGGAACGTGCTGAGGGCCCTCATTCTGATCGTCTCGCCGCCAGGCTACCGTGGGGATCTGCGATCGATCCTCGACAGCAATGCAGATGCTGCCTAGGCGTTCCAAGCAGGGTGCGGGAGCAATCAGCCATGTTTTGTTCCCCGCTCCGGAAGCTCGGTCAGCCCAGCGTGTCAAATGGCTTTGCAACCGGTGGGCCGCTTGGACAAGGCAGTTGAGCTTCGAGGGCTGTGTAGATCGACGGAGGCCGCTTCCCAACTCGCTGGTGAGCCAGTACCCCGCCCCCTCCTCCAGCTCGCTGCTCTCGTACCCTTGCAGCCTCCTGGGATGCCTCCTGCAAGCCATACGGCAGGGAAGATGCGATCTGGGACGCGCACTGCGCTGCCAGGGCACCCGTTCCGCACCATACCCGCCGCCGCCGCCGCCGCGGAGCCCCGCCCCTCAACCCCTCTCGGGCCCTGCCGCCTCTGCTGCTGCAGCTCACTCTCCCAGTCCGCGACCTAGGGAGCCCCCCGGCAGCACGCGGGCGATGCAGCCGGTCGCGGTGCGGGCCGTCGCGCTGCCCGCCAGGGTGCAGCTGCGGCCCGGGCGCGCCGCCGACCGGCCGGCCTTCCTGCGGGGCATCCTCAGGGAGAAGCTCAACCCCTTGTCTCTGGACCCGGCACGCTTCACAGTGGCGGAGCGCACCGATGGCGGCAGCGGCGGCGGCGGCCAGGTGGTGGGCTTTGGCCAGATCAAGCCGCTGGGCGGTTGCGCGCTGGAGCTGTCCACCTTGATTGTGGCAGAGGAAGAGCGGTGGGCAGCGGGCTGCAGGGCGCCGCTGCTGGGCCCGGGCCTGCCTAGCACGGGCACACCTTGCCGATAAAGCTCCAGCAGCCAGGTTGCCAGGGCAGGCCGTGGCGACAGCACGCTCAGGGCGTCGGGAGCATGAACAGCGATGCAACCGCGCCGCCTGCTGCGCTGCGCTGCAGGGGCAAGGGCGTGGGCTCCGCTCTCATCCACAGCCTGTCGGCGCAGGCAGGCGACACGCCGCTGTACCTCACCACCATCGCCAGTCAGGCGCCGCTGTACCAGCGGTGGGTGTACCTGCAGCCCTCCCCGCCTGCCCTGCCCAGCTGCTGCTTGTGTGGGGAGCAGGCCGCTGCCGCAGCCCGTATCGGGCTTCCTCCCTACTTTGGCCGCTGCCGCACGCTGGGCTGCGCAGCCTTCCTGCCTCTGCCGCGGAGGCCCACGCCACTCTTGCCTTCCCCCACCTGGCGGCGCAGGTGCGGCTTTGAGGAGGTGGCGCGGGACCAGGTGCCACCTTTCCTGCTGGCAGAATACCTGGTGGGCCTGCTGCTGGCCTGGCTGGTCACGCGGCAGCGGCTGGTGCTGATGCGGCTGGCGGCCGGCGGCGGCGGCGGCGGGCAGCAGGCAGAGCAGTTGCGACAGGACAGTGGCGGCGAGCATGGGTAGCACGCCCTGAGAATGGCGCGCACTTTTTCTGCAGGGGCTGCCCCTGAAGTTGCGTTTGATCTAAACACATGTGTCATGTTAATGGCATGCGATGTGATAGCCCCTCTCGGCCATGCCGTTGAGGAGGCAGGTGAGCGGCTCTTGGAGCGCGGCATGTGTCGGGGAGCCCCATTTTCAGGCCGATCCTGCTCTACGCCAGCCCATGCTGCTGCTCCCATGTTCCCATCACAAGACAGCAGAGAAGAAAGCGAGGAAGGGAGGCCGACACAACGACACATCCGCAGGCAGGGCCAACAGCCGGCAGGGTAATCCTCCTCCTTCCGGCCCTCAAACACGCCTCACCAACGCAAGATGCAGTGCTTACACAAGAAGGATGGATGCAGGGAGAGCAGCGCCCCACAGGACGCTGCGCCCGCCACCTCAAAATGCAGCATCAGTTCCCCGTCGCAAGTGTGACGTTTATATCGGCGGCGCCTGCTCCCTGCCTGCTGCCGCCTCCACCTCCTGCTCCTCTGATGACGAGTGCAGCTGGTGGTGCTGCTGCAGGTCCAGCACACCCCGTGGGCGTGTCTGAAGCCGGCGCGTGCTGCTGCTGCCCCTTGGATGCCGCTGCCGCCTCAACGACAGGTGGCTCTTGCTGCTGCTCTCGTGCCGTTGACGCGTCTGCCAGTTCCCCAGCCAGCACCCCCATTCTGCAGTAACTGTTGGTGACGGCTTGGCCCTTCCTTCTCAGCAGCTCCTCCTCAGATGACGCGTGCAGGGTGGCAATGCAGGACCGGACATGCAACCACATCAGCAGGGCGCACACAGTTGGGGAAGGGGAGGCAGGCAGGCAGGCAACATGGGAAGGCAAGAGGGGGATTGCCGCAGAAGTGCCTGCAAGAGCCAAGACTCATTGCAACCAAGCTCCTGCATGTTGGCAGTTCCCCACCGGCATTCTGTCGCAACACATCCCGCTCACAGCTCTCCCGCACTCTGTGTATCCACATAGCCCACACTCACCACCTCTAGCTGCTTGTGGCAGGCTGCACACAAGTCGATGGCTGGCACGCCACGCATCTCCTCCAACACCTCCTCAGGCAGTTCTATGCGTGTCAGCTCCACAATCCTCATCGGGCGCTGCTCCAGAGATGCACTCAGCTCCTCCTGCGCCTGCTGCTGCCGGCTGCGATACCATGCGGCGCGGGCAGCGCACAAAGCCGCCAGCCGTCTGCAGGCGTGCCTGGCGCCCGCACAGCACGTTGACCAGCCCGCAGCTGCATGCCAGCCTCGAGAATTGCCCTCCAGAACGGTAGCAGCGAACTGCGCGGATTGCATGACAAAGCCAGGCTGCAAACAAAAGTTGGAACTGGGAGCGGGCCGCTCCACCGCGGCGGCAACCGCGCCACCCTGGGGGAGGCGAGAGGCCTGCGCTGATCACCTCTTAGTCCTCGATGCCAAGCCGTAGCTCTTGCATGCGTAGCTGGCGCACCCGCTCCGGGTTTCTCTGCCCTTCGGGCTTGAACCTCTCCTCGTTGAGCTCACGGCGCACCCGCTGGTTCCATTCACGGTGCTGCTTGGTGCCTGGTGCAGGTGGAGTGTCCCAAAGGCCTGCTAGGGTGCTGCAGGCGTCCGCGAGCCACTGCATGGCCTATGGGTTGCGCGTTGTGGGCTTGGCGGACCTTGTTTGCAGTCGGGGGAGGAGGGCAGACGGTTGGAGAAGTCAGTCCAGGGCAACGCCACTGTAGAGCCTATGGCGGTAGCGCTGATGTGGCGCCGCCATCGTCCATGCTTTGCCCCTGCCTTCCCCGCAAGTGCGTCTGGGCACCCGCCGGGGATAGATATGCTCTGTGTGCCGTCATGCCGCTCTTTCAGGATGAAGAGGGCCACACCCTGGGCCCGAATCACCAGAGCCCCCCGCCGCCTGCCTGCGGCTGGGCTGCCGCACTGCCATGCCGCCTCCTGCCGACATCGCCCTTCCACTCCATGGCTGCCAGGCAAAGAGCTGCGCGTCCGAGGTGGGCGTTGGCTGCTCCTCCCGCTTCTTGCGCTCGGCGCCCCACCTAAACGCCGGGGCTCTGCCTGCTGGCACCGCCCCTGTGCTTCCGCTGCAGCAGCCAGTTTCGTCGCAGTGCCTGATCCCGGGAGTGATCTTGCAGAAAGCCATTTCCACAGATGCGTGCACAGCTGCCACACGGCCAGGGTCAGGCTGGCGGTCGGCGGTCGGCAGCAGTGAGCTGTTCTGGGCCTACGTTTCAGCCGCATAGGCGCAAAAATTGAGCAGAGAATGGTGAAACTGGCCGCAGCTTGATTTAGACCAGGATGATATCAAGAAGAAGGTGAGGTCAAGTTGTGTGCCTGTCTCCAGCTGGAAAATCGGTTGGTGGGTGAGCTGTACGGGACGGCAGTACAACTAAAGGCAGGTTTGCTTTCAGTGAAAATTGCGGGTGCTAGACGCTTGAAACGGAGGTTGTCACGGAGGGAGGATGCTCTCACAATCAGTGTAGAGGGGCTGCTCCGCCGCCGGCTGCCGCACGCTGCGCCGCCGCCGCGCTCGGGCTGGAGAAGGGCGACGCGCCGTGGCTGCCGTGTGCCTGCGCCTGCTGCAGGGACGCGCGCGCTGAGGGCGGCAGCGGCGGCGGCGAGGACGGCATCCCCGGGGGCCGCGGCGGCAGGGCGTGGGGCTTTGGCGGCGATGTGGCCGCCGCCGCCGAGGCCGCCGTGGCCGCCTCTTCTGCCGCCAGCTCTGGAGGCACCTGCTCCAGGGACAGCGTCTGGGAGCCGCGCCGCCCCCAGCTGCTGCTCTTCTTGAACGACATGCCGCCGGCGCTGCCCACGCTGCCGGGCGCGGCCGCGGAGCCGCCGTGCGGCTGCTGGGCCGCCGCCGCCGCCGCCGCGGCGGGCGCCGGGGGCAGAGCGGCCGCGGGCAGGGGCTGGCTGGCGCTGCTGGCGCGGCTGCTGTCGCGGCTGCTGTTGGCCTCCAGGGAGCGAAGCGCCTCGGTGGCTGCCAGTGCCACCTCCTCCACGGCTGCAGCGCCAGGGCGGCGGCGGCGTCAACAGCGGGTGGCAGCAGCTGTCAGTCAAGGCATGGAGGCAAAGTCGGGCTGGCGAGCGCAGAAAACCTTACCTGCTGTGGGCAGCACCCCAACCAGCCGCGCCTCGCACCACCCACCATGCACGGAGCCCTCACAACCCCCTCACAGCCCTACACCGGCCTCACCGCCCCACACCGCCCTCACCAGAGCCCTGCAAGTTCTCTAGCATGGGGACCGCCCCTGCCTCCCGAATCTGGTGCTGCACCGCGGGCCCAACCGCCGCCAGCTCCGCCAGGCACGCCGCCGCCGCCTCCTTGGCGCCTGGGCCCCCAAACAGCAGCAGCTGCGCCAGCCAGGGCACCGCGCCTGCGCCACGTGCAGGCAGAGGGGGGCGGTGGGGAGCGTCAGGGAGGCTGGGGCAGGCAGGGGCGGCGGCACCACATCCACACAAGGCCGTCTGCGCCGCCGAGCCGCCAAGCTCGCGGCATGAGAAATCCAGCAGGCCGCCGCGGGCCACGGCACGCCTGCCCACAACCACCACAGCCACCACAGCAGCCACCACACACACCACACCAGCACGCCCGCCCACTCACCCGCCCGCGCGATCGCCTCCCTCCCCAGGCTGCAGTCGTAGGCTAGGTCCCAGAGGGCCACCGCCGCCGTCTCCCGCACCTCCTCGCCGGGGCTCTTGCACAGCTCCACCAGCGCAGCGGCGGCCCCCGACTTGGCCACTAGCACCTGGGGGCGGCAGGGTGGAAGGCAGGCGAGGTGCGGAGGAAGCCAGGGGACAGAGGGTGTGGGATGGAGGGAGGTCCACGACAGGGCAGGAGGGAGGAGGGAGGGACACGTCTGGGCCTGCCGCCGCTCCTGTCCCACCCTCGCGCCGCGCTCCAGCCGCCGCCGCCGCGCCGCATGCCCCGCTGGACCGGCCACACGCTGCAGCCCTCCCGGCCTACAGGCACACTACCCACCTACACACACACATGCGCGCGCGCGCACGCATGCACATGCTGCCACCACCCACACCCACACCCACACCGA